CGTACGATTATAGATCAAGAAATATATAGAGCACAATTCGACCCGATACACATAATTTTTCAACTGGTTTTTCATAAAAGGTTACTCATCAATAAAATGAATTTTTATTGTATAAAAAATTGAAAATATTATATAATAGAAAGCGAAACGTATAAAAGATTAAAAATATAAAAAATATTTTCTTATCAAAAATATTAGAAAATTATTTACGTTATTTGTTTATATTAGTACTTTAATTTGCTCTAGGCGCAAACGCTTCGTGATTTCGGTGGTACAGTATTAGCAAATGCCTGCGGACCCTGCATTGGTCAATGGAATCGCCAAGATATTAAGAAAGGAGACAAAAATACGATTGTTACATCGTATAATCGAAACTTCACGGGTAGGAATGATGCCAATCCAGCGACACACGCGTTTGTAACAAGTCCCGAGCTTGTTACCGCTCTTTCCATTGCTGGTAAACTTGATTTCAATCCGGTGAAAGATAGATTAAAAGGGAAGGATGGAAAGGAATTTCTCTTGGACAGTCCATATGGTTAGTCGATAACATTTGTCGTATATTGTAAACTTTATCATTGACAACATTTTGCTTGACAATACAATTGTCAACAAAAAATGCACGGAAAAACATTATTATAACATATATTAACAGCAGCTAATTAAAAATAATTTTGTTAATTTAGTAATGAAACAAATAATATTTTATTGAAACATAATCATGACGTATTTTTTTCATTAATATTCTTATTTAAAAAATTAAGATTATTTTTAATTATTCTTATAAAAACTAAATTTAATATTAATTAATTTAATACTGGGGAAAGTAGTACTGGAAAGTAGTAAAATAATGTTATATTAACAGCAATTTATTCTTACAGATAACTTTATAAAACTATGTAGTTACACAATTACAATTTTTTTATTCTCTCATATTCTTTATATATTATCGATTTTGAAAGGATAGTGATAATTACTCAAAAAGTAACTTTTTAATTACTTTTCTGTTAATTTTTTGTAATATTTTATTATACATTATTATTTTAAACACAAAAATCTACATTTCTAACATTACTAAAATATTTTAGTTATCATTAGTATACGAAACATCCCAGTTTATGCGTTATAGTATTTTTATATGTTATAATAAATGAATATGTATACATCATAGTTGTATATATATATATATATATATATACATATACACGTATAAATTACTAAATAAATCTATTTATATATATTTGTACAGGTGATGAATTACCCAATCGTGGCTTTGACCCTGGTTTGGAAACATATGATGCACCACCAAAAGACAGTAGCAAAGTTAAGGTCGATGTAGATCCCAAAAGCCAAAGATTACAGTTACTGGAACCCTTCGATAAATGGAATGGCAAAGACCTAGAGGACTTGACAATCTTAATTAAAGTCAAAGGCAAGTGCACCACGGATCACATCTCCGCAGCTGGGCCGTGGCTGAAGTATCGAGGACACCTTGATAATATTTCCAACAACATGTTTATTGGGTAAGCATATTATAAAGTATATTATATAAATTAAGATTTTTTTAATATATAAAGACAATTAAAGGAGCTTTAAGAATCTGTGCAGAAAACAGCACGCAAGGTAGTTGCTGGATGTGTTGCTTTTCTCAAATATGCGTGACTTCGTATCTACAATAGTTTTAAGCCTTAAACCATAAGAAATGGACATGAATCATAATTGATTATTCTCCTCGAATTCGACTGTAATTAGTTAATTTCTTAGGGCTTAAAGCTTAAAACATCTATTGTAGATACGGGATAATAAAGAAGGCCTTAAGTCCTGTGTCTACGGTGCTACAACTTGGTCCGATTTCTTGAATCGAAGGATATAGCCAATCACTATGTTTTTACGGAAAAACAGTAAATTGATTGGTTGCACATTTTTCGGTTTGAGAATTTGTGTCGAGTTCTACCACCGTGGACATAGGGCTTTAGTAACATATTAAAATCGTAAGAAAATAGATATTATTATAGTTTTAGATCCATTGAGTTAGGCGCGATGAGCTATACTATGAACCCGTGTGGCGTGGCGTCACCGCACATTGACTTAGACGTTTTATTTTTTAATTCGAAAACTACAGCGACTATCTCAATATAAGACTTTTTTGTTTCTCTTGACTCCGTCCACGCTCTCAATGTTTTTTTAAATTATGTATAATTAACGATTATGTATAATTATGTATAATTAACGATTAACACGATAATGTTATGTCAATCGCATTTGTCGTATAATCTTTTCAGTGCTGTTAATTCTGAAAATGGCGAAATGAATAAGATCAAGAACCAACTGACAAATGAATGGGGTGCCGTGCCTGACGTAGCACGCGATTACAAGAAAAAGGGTGTAAGATGGATTGCGGTAGGTGACGAGAATTATGGTGAAGGTTCCTCCAGGGAGCACGCTGCCCTAGAACCTCGTCATCTTGGGGGTCATGCTATCATTGTAAAGAGTTTCGCACGTATACATGAGACAAATTTGAAAAAGCAAGGTCTCTTGCCTTTAACTTTCTCCAACCCTGCTGATTACGACAAAATTCAGCCTAACGATAAGATCAGTCTTCTTGGATTGAATGATCTAACGCCTGGCAAGGTTTGTAAAAAATATTTTACTTGTAACACAAAAATAAGTTAAATAAAAGAATTAAAAAATGTAAGGAAATATTTTAAATAAGTAACGCAGTAAAACCATAAATGTAGTCAAGATTGAATCTTGGTGTCTAATAATATTTTTATAACGTTAAATACATTTTTTAATTATATATTATATGCGATGAAATTGGTCGTTAATTTAATTAGTGATATTACTAAGTGTTTTAAGTCTTAGGACGCTGCAAATAATTTATTGTAAAAAATATACATATGTATAATTAAGAAGATATTATTACATATTTTAACTTTAATTTTATTTTTAATGTTTAACGTATAAAATTAAAAAATTTTTTACTTATCTTTTCTTCCATTTTCAGCCGGTCCAAGCACAAATCAAACACAAGGATGGCAAAATGGACACCATTAGCTTGAACCACACGATGAATGAACAGCAGATCGGTTGGTTTAAAGCTGGTTCCGCTTTGAATCGCATGAAGGAAATATCGAGTGGTAGACGATAAACTAACCGTCGAGTGGATATTTATTTGAAGAATTATTATATGGAAAGGAAATATGTTGAATGGGACGAATCCGATCAGAGTAATACGACATCACGTATCTTGGATAAGTGAATAGATACAATATGATGTCTAGTCATCATAGCTCAATGCAAATGTCTATATCGTAAAAATACTCAAAATATATCTAAAGATAAAATTCTCTTAGATATATTTTTAATGTATGATATTAGACAATCTCAGTTAATTCGTTGCCTTTTGCCTCATTTCTATTTGACAATACTAACCTCTTACACAACGCGGAGAAGATGTACATTGACGGACAAACCCTGATGGATAGAGTATTATTCTACGTCAACACGTAGTCACGCGTATCGGACAATGCACTCGTTTCAGAATGAGGCATTTCTACATGTACATAAATACACAATACTTATTATCAATTAGGAAGCGCCATCATCATTTTCTAGTTGTTAACTGGTTTTAGAAAAATGTACTGTTTTGGAAAAAAAGCCAAATATACTATTAGCCAATAAAAAATCTTAATTGATCTTAATTAATTCCCTCGCTTCAAGCTTTCTCTTGTAGATGCCGTGTTATGCGAAGACGAAACAAATTGTAAAATTCAAAGAGATTAAAAATATTTGGCTGTACGATGTTCTAGTTAAAATATTTGTCAAACAATGATCTAAAAAAGATAATCTCAGCACACTTCTATATCTAAACTGCCAACCTCGTTATCATGTTTGAAGCGCCGCATTTAAGTTCAAGTACTTTCACAGAGTATATGTATAAACACGGAGAGAATCACTGCTTTCATATAATATACACAATATATAGTTACGTGATACACTTAGATCATGTGGCACACTCACGAACAGAATATATGCGTATGAACTAAAACTAGCTCTTTCAGAATTAGGTTTATTTCTTTCTATCATTTGAAAGTTAGCAGCCTAGGTACAATCAAGGACTAAAACTTTGCAACACTTTTTCGATGGGTTTCGGAATGCAGCCTACTAAACGAGAGATTAGTTGCTACTTATAAATCCATAAATGATGACTCAGGAGCCTTTTCTAAGTAGTCGCTGCGGTCATGTTGAAATCGTGACGTCAGGAATAAAAAATGACATAATTTATGTTACGTGCCATTTGTAAATAAAGACAATTTGTATAAATCAAAACAACGAAATCATTTTGAAAAAAATGTAAAAATAAACGAAAACTGTTTTTTTCTCCCTTGATAGTCATGAATGGTCATAAGAAGCATATAAAGTGAACCTTTACGAGTAGGAAACATGATTTAACAGCTGTTAAAACAAGTGAAAAATACGTTTTTACGTATAAAATCCCACATAGCTTTACTTTTCGTCCATTTTTAGGACGATCATTTCATAGATACGAGACACGTCACATTTTCACAATTAAGCACATAATTATGAAATGGCATCCTTTCTTAAAAATATAATTAGTTTTCAATAGAAAATTTAATGTCTAAAATAAAACTTAGTAGAAAAATATCGTTTATGTTGACGAAATATAATTTCTTTGGTATTATTTATAAAGCAATAAATATTATTTTAAATTAAAATTAACAATAAACTTCCCCATTAATATACGGTACGTTAATGTTATCATTACAATAAATTTATAGATATATTTAACAACCATTATTGTTCAATTTATTTTTGACCTGGGAGGTTTATTGTTAATTTTAATTTGTTAATTTAGTTGAGCTGATTGTAATTCAATTTTAATTTTTATTATTTTAAATTTGTTAGCGTTTTAACTCATTTGTATAGAATTCTAACTTAAATACAAAGCATAGATATAATATTGCGCGAATCGATGACAATTAATTGATGGATAAATCTTGGAAAATTTTTATCTGGAATATCCTGAAATTATCCTTGAATTAGTTAGCAAAAATTTTACTGGACGTTATATGTCAGTAATATAACAATGTTTAAAATTTTTATAACGTTACGACTCGCAACACACGCAACGATGCGTTACGATTTTAAGTACACATGCGTCATTTCCATGGTAACAGCTTGCAGTTCAATTCTATAAACAGAAGGTTTAAGAAGCATAAGAGTCTTAGTAGTGTTTTGTAAGTCTGGATCTACAATAGGTGTTTTAAGTCGTAAGAAATTGACCAATTACAGTTGAATACGAGAAGAATAATTGATTGTTATTAGTCCATTTCTTATAACTTAAGACCTAAAAATATATTGTAGATCTGGGCTAAACGATAAGTTTTATCAGAGTGTTATTGACCAAAAGCTAAAAAACAAAACTAAGCTTTCTTTTGTTGACAATAAGTATGTCAGTGGAAGGACAATTTTTTCTCTCCGCTACCGGCTCTATCGAGCATGCGGAGTTCTACGAGGTCAATAACGTTTATTGCAAGTACAGCTTTCATTTCGGATCTGACTGGAGCGTCGTTGCGGTATGCTTCTACAGTAATAAAAGAAAGTTGAAAGGAACAATAAAATTAAGTTGTTTTTGTCATAAAGGAAGCTAGAGCATATATTCAACAATATTGGATTATAACAGCAAAAGAAAAAACTTCGTATAATTTCATTTTATGTTTAGGATATGTAACAGTAACATTTATCGATTTCAATAAAATTGCAAAATTATGATAACTAAATGTAATTAATTAATTGCAAAATTTAATAAATTGTTTCTCATTATTCGTATATTTTATTCATATTTGCCAATGTGGCCAAAATGAGACATTTTCTTCAAACTTTCTCCTGTTTTTTGTTAATAAATTTTTAACGAAAAACAAGTAACGGCTAAAATTTGTTGGAAGTTATTCAGAGTCATGACCTTATTAATAACATATGTCAAGATCAAGGTCATAGATAATAGCTTCTTACATCTCAAAGAAATATTTACCTTAAATTATAATTAAATAATATATAAGATTAACTTTTCTTTAATAACACATTAAAGCATTATAAAGTAAAGTAACAACATATATTGGTTAATTTGTTATCTTTCTAGAAAGAAAGGAAAACGATAATTATTTTATATATTTTTATATTTTCGACTTTAAATTTTCCATCTCTTAATTCTTAAAGTTTCACTGTTAATTTCTAATTGTATGATCATACATTGTAATTCTTCATGATATTATATTATTAACATCCAGCGATTATTAATTTATATTAAATGCGATTAATTTCTATGTACTGATGATAGTCAAAACTTGACCGAAACGTTTACTTTTGTCTTCTTTTTGAAATTTATAACTTTTTGCTTATGACATCTTGCGTTGTGGCTGTATGCTTATTTTTATTTATGTTTATTAAAAATAATTCTTTATTTTTTTGGACAATGTGTATCGATTTAATTAAAATATTTCTTCTTAATAAAAAATACTCTCATCGAGTTTTCCACTCTGATGTATCAATAACAATTAATGATACAGGCAAATTATATAAAAAAAACTTTAAAACTCCTTTTTTTCGTTTTATTTCAATGAACACAGGCGAAGAATTCTCATTCTCCCTTGAATGTATAATATTTCAATTTTCTCATTTCTGATGGTAATGTAATAAAAGTTCCTTGGAACTCATTGTAAAAAGTAACAACATGAAATAATTAATATATGACGTTCTATTTTCTCTTTGTCTTCATCGTCATAATAATTTTAAATAGAAAACAAAATATTTAAAAGTTTTTAAACTATTTTAACTGATTTTTACATAATTATTCTGCATTGGTTACATTTAACGGAAAAAGCAGCTTTGCAACTGTTGTAACATTTTTCAATGTGATTGTTTCTTTATACTTTTGATTCCTTATGAATCTAAATCTAAATGTAAACCAATTGCATCATATTGAAGAATTGTACAACGTTGCAAATCTACTTTCTCTACTGAACGCAGTCATTTTTCTTATTCTGTCATGTGAATAAAGTTTTTCTTTATTCCACTCATTCATTCGTCTTTTGGAGACAAATAATAAATTGATACTTAATTTGTAAAATTGCGAATTTAAAATAGAATGTCTTTTTTTTACAGGGAATCGAGGAAGGGCTGACGCAAATGTGTAAATGCAGCAACGATCCTAGAAATCTCGCCGTATGGAACTTCCCTTTGGATGTAACATTCAAGAGCACAAATCCACACGGATGTGAGTGATGTTCAGAAATATTTTTTATGACACACACACACACGCACACGCACGCACGCCACGCACACATACACACACACACACACACACGTCATAAAAGAAGAATAAAACATGTGTAAAAAATATTAAAGCGTAAAGTTTTTTCGTGTTTTTCACGTTTTTCATATTTTTAGTCTGCAAATAGTGAAATATGTAATATGTTAAAAAAAAACATCAAAATTAAAACAAGTATAAAAGGCTATACAGAGTCATACGCTGTTAACGGAGCGCGGAAATTACAAAAAATCTTACATTTAGATTCAATTCAGAGTCGAACGTTTCGGTCCTTTAATCTGGACCATCATCAGCGACAATACAAAAATAATCTTAGATATAGTGATGTTGTTGAAACGCAGAACATTCTATTGTCGCTGATGATGGTCCAGATTGAAGGACCGAAACGTTCGACTCTGAATTAAATCTAAATGTAAGATTTTTTGTAATTTCCGCGCTCCGTTAACAGCGTATACTCTGTCTGGCCTTTAATATACTTGTTTTAATTTTGATGTTTTTTTTAAACTGTGAAGAGTCTGTAATTCAATTACTTCGTTTTATTTATTTATTTGTAATATGTTAAATAGGGCCACAGCTCATCATGTCGATTTATGGCTTGGATTTTTTCGGTCGCGACGTCATCAGGGGATACGGAGTGTGTCATTTGCCTCTAAAAACTGGATATCATGAAAAAAGGTATTAAGACTAACAATAAGATACGATTGAAAACACAATAAGAAACAGCGAATATCAGATTTCATCTTATGAAAAATCGTGCAATTTGATATACACAGTTTTTGACAGCTTGAAATCTGTTATTTCTTGTTCCTATTGCCTATGTTTTTTAATTATACATTAAATCTTATTCACGTATAAAAGCAAACACGATCAGTAGATAAAACATATGAAATAAAAGTGCGATTTTTTTAAAGACTTATATCTTGAATAATTAATTTAAGATACAATTCAAAACTCAAATAATTTTAGAAGATTAAAAAGCGTCTTGAGATTAATTATTTCGTTTAAATGCTCAAAGACAATAAATGATTTTTCATAAAAGTATAGTCCCCTTTATTATTATAATTGTAAGTTATAAAACATCTTTGGTACTCATACTGCAAACTATTGATTTTTACTTTTACAAATATCCAATAGATTTTTTTATTATAGGATCAAATGATTGAAGGTACAATTGGTCGAAGAAATATCATGTTCCCCTATTGTATTTTATATTTTTCCGAGTTTTCTGTTTACACCTATTGCGCTTGAGAGAGAGACAGCAAGAGAGAGAAAGCGAGAGAGAGAGAGAGAGAGAGAGAGAGAGAGAGAGAGAGAGAG